CATTCACAACAGTTACACCTCAACCTTCGAAGAGGGGACCCCACGTGGTCATGTGGTGACACTCCTCAGACCTATGTGGTGGGTGTGAGCCGCATATCCTTAGCGCTCTGGAAGCAGAGTATGGTGGTTGCTGTTCAGTACACTTATGTCAAACTCTCAACTTAGCCTTCCACCAGACTCGCGGACTGAGGAAATGTGAAGTGTGATGAAGTGTCAAGTAATTGATGATGCCTGTCACCTGCATTGTGGGGGGAGGGGGGAGAGATATACGACCCCAGCAGTTAATGCCAACACAGGTCACTCAAGCGTGGGACGCCAAAGGGTCCACACGGTGACCTCATGGAGGTACAATGCTCCTATGTGGTCTGTGGTGAGAACCTCATGTCTATGTGGACATTATATGCTGTTGAGTATGCTCCGCTCTAGAAGTGAGCTAGAAGCAAGCAAGCTACGTGTGGGAGTGAGAGAGAGAGAGAGAGAGAGAGAGAGAGAGAGAGAGAGAGAGAGAGAGAGAGAGAGAGAGAGAGAGAGAGAGAGAGAGAGAGAGAGAGAGAGAGAGAGAGAGAGAGAGAGAGAGAGAGAGAGAGAGAGAGAGAGAGAGAGAGAGAGAGAGAGAGAGAGAGAGAGAGAGAGAGAGAGAGAGAGAGAGAGAGAGAGAGAGAGAGAGAGAGAGAGAGAGAGAGAGAGAGAGAGAGAGAGAGAGAGAGAGAGAGAGAGAGAGAGAGAGAGAGAGAGAGAGAGAGAGAGAGAGAGAGAGAGAGAGAGAGAGAGAGAGAGAGAGAGAGAGACAGAGAGAGAGAGAGAGAGAGAGAGAGAGAGAGAGAGAGAGAGAGTGAGAGAGTGAGAGAGAGAGAGAGAGAGAGAGAGAGAGAGAGACCCAGCTCATTTGCTCATTTGTTGCTGAGACGCCAACACAACCCTGTCTGACGTGTAACTAATCACCGTCATTGAACACCACCGACACAAACTGAATTGGGTGAGAAAGTTAAATGTTTCTTTTCCTTACATAAAACAGACATTCTTTAAGAAAAAATAATGACTCCCTCCACTATCACACAAACGGTAGAGCGACGGTCTCGCTTCATGCAGGTCGGCGTTCAATCCCTGACCGTCCAAGTGGTTGGGCACTATTCCTTCCCTCCGTCCCATCCAAAATCCTTATCCTGATCCCTTGCCAGTGCTAAATAGTCGTAATGGCTTGGTGCTTTCTCCTGATAGTCCTTCACTCCCCATACCCATCTTAAGAGCCTGTTCTCCTACCCTTTCGGGTAGGGGGGCCCCCCTCCCTTCTCAACATATCCTTGCCAGGTAGGGGGCCCCTCCCTTCTCAACATATCCTTGCCAGGTAGGGGGCCCCTCCCTTCTCAACATATCCTTGCCAGGTAGGGGGCCCCCCTCCCTTCTCAACATATCCTTGCCAGGTAGGGGGGCCCCTCCCTTCTCAACATATCCTTGCCAGGTAGGGGGCCCCCCTCCCTTCTCAACATATCCTTGCCAGGTAGGGGGGCCCCTCCCTTCTCAACATATCCTTGCCAGGTAGGGGGCCCCCTCCCTCCTCAACATATCCTTGCCAGGTAGGGGGGCCCCTCCCTTCTCAACATATCCTTGCCAGGTAGGGGGCCCCCCTCCCTCCTCAACATATCCTTGCCAGGTAGGGGGCCCCCCTCCCTTCTCAACATATCCTTGCCAGGTAGGGGGCCCCCCTCCCTTCTCAACATATCCTTGCCAGGTAGGGGCCCCCCTCCCTTCTCAACATATCCTTGCCAGGTAGGGGGGCCCCTCCCTTCTCAACATATCCTTGCCAGGTAGGGGGCCCCTCCCTTCTCAACATATCCTTGCCAGGTAGGGGGCCCCTCCCTTCTCAACATATCCTTGCCAGGTAGGGGGCCCCTCCCTTCTCAACATATCCTTGCCAGGTAGGGGGCCCCTCCCTTCTCAACATATCCTTGCCAGGTAGGGGCCCCCCTCCCTTCTCAACATATCCTTGCCAGGTAGGGGGCCCCTCCCTTCTCAACATATCCTTGCCAGGTAGGGGGGCCCCCCTCCCTTCTCAACATATCCTTGCCAGGTAGGGGGCCCCCCTCCCTTCTCAACATATCCCCCCTCCCTTCTCAACATATGGTAGGGGGGCCCCTCCCTTCTCAACATATCCTTGCCAGGTAGGGGGGCCCCTCCCTTCTCAACATATCCTTGCCAGGTAGGGGGCCCCCCTCCCTCCTCAACATATCCTTGCCAGGTAGGGGCCCCTCCCTCCTCAACATATCCTTGCCAGGTAGCGGGGCCCTCCCTCCTCAACATATCCTTGCCAGGTAGGGGGGCCCCCCTCCCTCCTCAACATATCCTTGCAGGTAGGGGGCCATCCTTGCCAGTAGGGGCCCTCCCTCCTCTACATAACCACATACTTGCATCTATCGATCTATATATCTACCCACAGGATTAACTCTACGGCACATACTCATACATATTCATCTACTACTATTCCTCTCCTCTTCACCTCTTCAACATTCCTCTTCCTATACTTACCCTACATGGCCCACATACCACCACATACCCCCGCCCCCACTCCAACATGAACCTCTGTCAAGTGCCACGCGGCCGGACGCCACACGCCCGGCACGCGCCACACACCTAAGGAACCCCCCAGAACCCATTGAGACTAGACACCTGTGCAACACCTGAGCAGGGGGGCCTAATGGGCTCACGTGCTCAGGTGCTGCGCGCGGTTCTAGTCTCAACTTACACTACTCACCATAGTGAATCACTAAGCTGGTACGGTGAGTGCAGACAACAGGTGGCCACACAGATTCAGCAGACGACGCTACCTCCCTCACTCCCTCCCTCAGCATTACTCCGCCCACACAGCGGTTAATTATCACAACAATTCTGCTATCATCACAATCCTGGTCATTTTTATCAGTCAGGGGCCTTCTGTAATATTGTCATCGCTAAATAATAGCAGTTACATATTTATTTTGACTTTTTAGTCGATGCTGTGGTCACAAGCTGAATAGCAGCGCTGTTAGCTCATGCTGTGTGTGCCAGCTTTGGTTGCTCACACAGTATTGTGGCTCTCACACCCGAGAGTGTTGACCACGATTTTTTTTCAAACATATCTTGAGGTTATCTTGAGATGATTTCGGGGCTTTTAGTGTCCCCGCGGCCCGGTCCTCGACCAGGCCTCCACCCCCAGGAAGCAGCCCGTGACAGCTGACTAACTCCCAGGTACCTATTTACTTTTTGGTAACAGCGGCATTCAGGGTGAAAGAAACTTTGCCCATTTGTTTCTGCCTCGTGCGGGAATCGAACCCGCGCCTCAGAATTACGAGTCCTGCGCGCTATCCACCAGGCTACGAGGCCCCCATTGGCATCTGTTTACAAGAGCCCTGAGGAAGCTGATGTGAACCCCGTGTAGCTGCAGGCCATTTGAATCGTCGCCAACACCCTACGTCGTATATGTATGCCATGCACATGGTGGGACATGTTACTCCAGTCGTATATATATATGCCATAGGTTAAGGATTAAAGTCAAGGCTCCTGTGTAATCGACCCCAGTTGTATCAAAAGTACGATGGTTGACTACTTGTTCCTTAGGGAGTGGTGGAGGTCGTGGATAAGGACAGACCCAAGTGTTGTACCTCTGGCTGAATACACACGATTTGATTATATATTTTACAGTGTGGCGATCCTGGGTAAGCCAGAACTGCTGTCTTAGGTCGGAGAGGGTATCTAGAACGCCCCCATCATGTAGAGTGCAGTGCTCATGTATGTATAACACAATGAGCCTGCTTACCTGGTGGTGATGGGGAAGAAACATGGGATTCTTTGTCTCCAAGTCTATGTTTGCGTGTTGTGAACATCCTTCGCACCTTAATATGCAGTTACAGTCCAGATCAATCCAGAGACCTAGATTATTTTCTAATTTCTTAGGGAGATGTTCAAAACTCATCCCATATGTTTCAGTTTGGGCTCTTTTAACCCAGTAATTTAATGGATTAGGGAAATGAAATTTTGACCCTATCTTATTGATGAAGTCAAATACTCTTTGTGTTCCCCTTAAAAGTTTACTCAGATCAGAGTACTGACTAGGATCAATTGCCAAGGTACGAGGTGGTTCTGGTGTCTCAATGGGAGCAGTGACATTGGTCCCAATGACTTGTGGCCTTTAGGCCACTGAGGTCTATTGAACCACATTTCGGCTTTGGCTAATTGCCGTAATGTCAGGCCTCTGGAAAGGTATCCCTGAAAACACAAACCGAAACTGTCTCTATTTCCCGCTTGTTACAAGTTGTAATAAAGTTGTTACATCTTGGCTTTACGTTTTAATGACGTATTAGAACGTTGTTACAACTTGCTATATTGGTTGTTATAACTGGTTAGGTGGTGTTAAAACTTGTTCGAACGTTGTACGAACGTCGTAGTTTCGGTGTGTGTTTGGCGGGTAGTCAGCAGGAGTTTACTTTGTGGGTACATATCTCAGTTTGTACCCTGCTGACAAATCCCTATTTCCCTAATGTTGTTACTCATATAAGGAGTTTTTGTTATTATTTCTCACTCACTGTAAGACTGTCTCATTATCTGACCATACCACTGTTCCTGTAAAGTGGAGGTCACTTAATGTTTTGGTCAGGTAATGAGCCAATCTGACGCTAACCAGTTAATTCTAACTGTCGCAATGACCTATTCTTTAACGATGCCACTCTAGCTTAGGATGTGAGCAGAGGAGAGTGAGAGAGGAGGGACTGAGTGAACACAGTGTGAGAGACCAGGGACTGAGTGAACACAGTGTGAGAGACCAGTTACTGAGTGAACACAGTGTGAGAGACCAGGGACCGAGTGAACACAGTGTGAGAGACCAGGGACTGAGTGAACACAGTGTGAGAGACCAGGGACCGAGTGAACACAGTGTGAGAGACCAGGGACTGAGTGAACACAGTGTGAGAGACCAGGGACTGAGTGAACACAGTGTGATGTGTCTTATATATATTATCTCCACTACTTACCTTTACCCAAGCACTGCAGAACCAGAGTTTCATTCAGTTTCTCTCCCTCGTGAGCCACGTTACCGTGAACGCGGTAAGGAGGGTCGTACTTCATAACGTTGAAGACAGCGCTGAAGTACTGGAAATTGGTATTCAGTGAGCATGGCTTCCAGCTGTCTGTAACAAAAATAATCATGTTTCATATATCTTCTAACTCAATTTCTTGCATACCCGGTACAACCTGTCCTCCTACAAAGAACGTCGTATTTCGATCGTATGCGTTATTCAAGGCCATAAATTTTCATACTAGAAAATGGAAGTGGTTCGCGAAAGTGACGTACAAACCCGTTTTCTGTTTTAGGCCCTCTGGCAGGTTAGGAGAGACCACTTTAAATTGACCGCTTTCTTGACGTTGGGAGAGCTAAGGAGGACGGGCTGGTTGTTCTGCTACCCAACTAATGCCATTGTGCCGGTACAGTTTTCTACTTGGTGTCACTTAAGCAGCCAACTTTTGTCTTTTTAATGTTTATATTGGTCTTTATAAAGTGTGGATTAACCTTCATTTTCAGCATGTTGTATCTGAGAGCATATTCAACAAGATGGCGTCTGGGGAGAGTAGAGGCAAGAGATATCAGTTTTGAAGAAGACCAGTTTCGACAACCGGTTCTAAACCTTGTCACTTTCATGTCATGTGTGTGGGTTGGGTTATTATATGTAATCTTTTCTATACAAAACTAATTTTAAAACATTACGTGAGAAGAAATACAACTATTGAAGATCTACTAGCCTATACTAGGCAGCTACAATTTATGCCCAGAATACTAACCTACGGCTTAAGCTATGCTGCCACCCCAAGGCCATTATGTTTTCTGGTAACTAATTCCATCACTTGACTACCCTGTATCCACATCTGTTTGATGTTTACCTACGTTTTTGATGAATCTTAAATTACCCTATTTATATCCACACTTTCCTGTTCTATTCCTATTTAAATCCTTTTTGATGCATTTTTATTCATTTAAATTCATCAGTAATATCATTCCTTAACGTTCGTCTTTCAATTGAATGTAAATTAAGCTTTTTTAATCTCTGATTATAAGGAAGATTTATACTTCCTCGGATTTTGTTCCCTGCATTGATTAACTGGCCTATGATACCTATTAGATGAAGGCTCTGCCAGGGTCTGAACGATTGTAGGTAAGAACTAAGAGAACATTTGACTTTCATACTTAATAATAATTCCTATTTTTATAATCATTACAGCCGAGGAAAGTAACGGAATTGTGGAATAATGAAAATATAGCAATTTTTAAGGAGAATAGATCATTTACATCGAACTTTCGGCCAAATTAGCTTAACGTTTATTGTTGGAAACTCATTAAATCCATAATCACAGAAGCCATTCGTCTACATCTTGAAAAAAAATGGATTAATAAAGAATCTTGTCGTAGGTCTACACTGGGCTGCTCATGTGTGACAAATTTGATTATGTATTTATAATATATATTGTTATGACCCCATGTAGCCTGGTGGAACGAGTGAATCCGGTGAGAGTTGGTCTGCTTTCCGGACCTGAGATTAAGAGGTCAGAGGAAGGAAAATATACAATACGTCAGTGAGTAATTTAAGAATACGAACAGAGGATGGGCGTCTGATAACAAGTTACATGAAATGAGATGTCAATACTTTAGTAACGTGACGTGAGGCTAGCACGACGTCGTGACCTCACTTGAGCCACAGCAGTCATCAGAGATGGTCGTACTTGGTTGATCTCATGGAAGAAGGAGGAATATAGTGGCCTGTGTGAGCGGTGAAGTGAAGGTTACTTGTATGCTAGTGTGAGGAAGCTGTTGGGACATAGTACACCTTTTCTCTGTGATTTGAATATATTAGAGGCGACCTGGAAGCGAGTGTCGGTCGCACCTTTGTGGAACTCTGTTACGGACTCGTCGCCCTTGTCAGGGGGTAGAGTGGCAGTTCCAGCGAAATCTAAGAGTCCGCACCCGAATTCCCCGGGAATAGTACGTAATGTGGACAATGCCATCTGGTGGTGGTTATCTAGTACCTGCAAATGGCTGAAGATTCCTGCCTTGGTCAGCCAGAGGGGTCGTTGTGAGTGACCTCTGGTGAGGTGACGCGTCAAGACCAGCGCCACCTAGTGTGTGCTACAGAGCACAATGTCAACTCTCCAGTGGGTTAGTGGTATTTCCTAGTTTCGCCAGTATCAGCTAGGCATTGATGACGTTTTTGTGTTCACAGAGGTGACGTCTGGCGGGCAGCGGTACTGGAGACGGCAGTTCATCTCGGGCAGTCCACAGTCTCCCTACATGGTCCTGGGGTCAGATTCACGAAGCAGTTATGCAAGCACTTACGAACCTGTACATCTTTTCTCAATCTTTGGCGGCTTTGTTTACAATTACTAAACAGTTAATGAGCTCCGAAGCACCAGGAGGCTGTTTATAACAATAACAACAGTTGAATGGGAAGTTTTCATGCTTGTAAACTGTTTAATAAATGTAACCAAAGCCGTCAAAGATTGAGGAAAGATGTACACGTTCGTAAGTGCTTGCGTAAGTGCTTTCGTGAATCTGGCCCCTGGAAACGACCAAGTAAGCCGCCGCCGATGAAGCAGTGTGGTAGCTGCTAGTGCTTTAGTGTTGAAAAAGATCGGCGTACTTTTGGGACTGGCTTAGAGGAGAGACTGACGACAGAGATGTGCGTGTTGAGTAGTGCTACTAGCTGGTTGCTAGAGACTGCTGCCAGGGGATCGCTACCCCTGTATTAGTTTGTGACCCCGCTCAGCGTGTGGCTGAGGTACTCTGCCAGCGAGTAGCTGGAGAGCGGTCGTGGGGGTACAGGCACCTCATGACACCGTCAGTGGGATGGCCCACGTACAGGTGAACTACCCGGTGTTCTTCCCAATAAGGTTGGATACGCTACTGGACAGTGAAGAAACACTGGGGATTGATGAACTCTGCACGTGAGCACGTTTGATATCCTGAGTGAAAGGATTGTACATAAGTGTAGAAATAGCCTATCTGTTCTTTATATATTATTAATGGTGACGGAGTGTACATATATGTACTTAACGGTGGTGGAAAGATATTTAATACTTTGATAAAAGGAACAGTGTTTTGTTCAGCCCCTCCGTTTTTTATGCACTACATAGCCACTTTCTTGAAAGCGTACTACCGACTTGGGGTCGGATACTAACATTTTGGTTCTACCATCAAAGAACCCGGTTGCGACCCATAGTGGCCGTAACAAACTCTAATTGTGTGCTCATTCAGGAAGGGAGTGAGCAGATGTTTTGTGTGGAGCCTGTCGGGCGACTGTGTACTCAAGTCAGGACTGGAGGAAGCTTTGTGAAGCAGTCTTATAGCGATTTTTGTGGGCGGCTTGTGTGAGTCCCAGGGCGTGAGTCCCAGGGCGTGAGTCCCAGGGCGTGAGTCCCAGGGCGTGAGTCCCAGGGCGTGAGCTCCCCACGTCATAGATTCCTGCAGTGAGCTTGTTTAATAAGTTGTTACCTTAGCTACCAGTGTTTGATCGTGTGCCCAGCAATCATAGTGAACATATGTATATATACAGGATAAAGATTTTATTGAGAGCTACTATGGGAGCCCCGACGTGAACCAGGCTTGAAACTCTAAGACTGGAAACGGGTTTGCCTTTTCTTCAAGAAAGAATATCACAAAGAGCGGCTACAATTATCAGTAAGATCATTATTTCCCCTTGATACAGTCCCAGTACGGCAGGCCTTGGTGGTTGGACTTGGCCAAAACGGAAACTCTTGGGCTGCCAGAGCGGGAAATGTCCTAAACAGACTACAATTAAAAAGCATGATTCTTGATAGAGGGGGTGATCAACCACACCCAAACTACACTTGTTCCCCACCGTGGGAGGAGCCTACCTTCAAAATAGTAATAGATAGTCTCCTGATGAAAAAGACTGCCTATGGTTCAACAATCCTAAGGGGCATAATAAAAAGCCAATGTGCAACATAGCAGTAGCAGGAGCCACCCACATCTTCAAAGATGGATCGGTGGACAATGTGAGAGTGCTGGCGCTGCTCTTTGCACGGACAGTAAATAGGCTTATTGGAGACTGGGAGGCCCAGTATCATCAACCCAAACTGAGATGTTTGCCACACAACAGGTATTCACATGTGATTGCACAAAACGTTCAAAATGCAATCAAACACGCAGACTCAAAAGTGCACTTCAAATATTAGGACAAAATCAGTGGAAAGATAACGTGGAAATAATTAACACCACTTTGTATCTTAGAGGAGTCGCTAAAAGCAGAAGACTCAACATAACCCTAAACGAATCCCATACCATGTTGAAATCCCATTAAATGAGAGAGCCGATGAAATTGCTAAATTGGCAACTCGTCATCTAGTGATACATAAGACAATCCAACCCAGCCTAGAGAACATAAAAAACATCATCACCAAAAAACTCTCACACCTCAACAAAGCCCATCTACACCAGAGAGTAGCTGAAGTTTGCCCTCTGCAACATGGTATCTTCAGGTCACCAAGTTAGGAAGGTTAAATATCCCAAAAGGAATCCACAGTGAAATAGCAGTTCGGTTATATAGACTACGTCTAGGTTACAGATGCAACTGGGAGATTGGTGAACCCAGACAGAGAGAGTGCATCTTCTGCCACTCAATCACAGAAAAGCCACTACTTCACTATCTTCTGGAATGTGAAGCAACCAACGACCTTAGAAGAGCTTTAAGAGTCCCTGACTCTTGCAGTAACCACCCTGAAGCCATCAACACTGCCACTCTTCTGGCCAAAAAAGGTGTCCAGCATGTTGTTGTTGTTGTTATAGATTCAGCTACTCGGAACAAGTTCCAAGTAGCACGGGCTATGGTGAGCCCGTAGTGAACCTACCTGGCACAGGAGCGGTGCGGTGTCCAGCAGCTGGACACCCTCATAAATACTATCAAGCAGTATCCTCCCCCACGATAGCAGCCTGACGATTAAATGCGACCTCAGCACACTGTATAGATTTACTGAACAACAATTGTACCACTTAGGGGCTGTTTCATGCCCGTGCCACCTCTTGGGTGGCTTAATCTTCATCAATCAATCTCGCTCCCATCTCACTCCACTTGATAATGGTCCAGCACAAACCGAAACGACGTCGTCTCTTCATCTTATGATGTGTGGTTTAGTCATCACAAATATTATTATACCTAAATGCCCTTTGTTATTTCTTCTCATTCATGTCTTCCTTCCATGCCATTGAAATGACGTAGCATATATATATATAATTCCTGTTATTAGGTTACATGTTAATGTCGTCATGTCTCAAAATGTACTGTATATTTGGAATGTTTGTATCTATATGAATAAAATTATATAATCTAATCAACGTAAAAAAGGTTGAGCAAGAACATGACCAACCATTTGAGTTAAGCAGACGACCATAGTAGGAACAGTTGCAGACTTGCTTGATGCAAAAATTAGAAGCCCCAACTTCGCAGTTTGGCTCAGTATTTAGGAAGACATCTTCATTCAGCTTGTAGTTCACTTCATTTGATGGAACGCACTCAGTCTCTGACCAGTCGACCACAGTCTTGATGCCCGCATCCACCACCTGGAGTCAATGATAACTTATGAAGGGCAAATGTGATATGGGTAATAGGACAATGATATGTTCTGACACCACTACTGTTCATTATTTGTTAATGATCTACCCGAGGGAGTGAGCTCGTACATGTCGATGTTTGCAGACGATACAAAGACAATGAGGAATGTATAAACATATGACTACTAAATGCTACATGAGGACCTTGACAAATGAGTGAGCAGACAAATGGTTGCTGAAGTTCAATTCCCAATTACTGTAAGGTAATAAGGATGGAGAATGGATAAAGGAGGCCCTAAAGTGTTAACATTATAAAGGGAAAGCAGCTACAGGAATGAGGGAAAGAACGAGAATTGGGAGAGGATATAATTCCATCACCAACATCAGCGGCACACACACTTGCAGGGTTACATCGGCAGTATAGGCGACGCCGGCGAACATTTGACCATGATTTAGAAGCTTAAATTACTATTGTACTCTGTTGAGCAATTGCATATTAGGGATATAAGTATATATACTAGCTGTACCCGGCCACGCGTTGCTGTGGCTCAGCAACGCATGTGTGTTGCTGAGCCACAGCAACCTTCCCTGTGTCTTCCAGTCCTCCCCACCATTCCTCCCTCCCCCATCTTCTCGTCCTCCCAACCATTCCCCATTCTCCCGTCCCCTCGTCTTCCCCACCATTTCCTCCCTCCCCCATACCTGTGTCGATCCTCCTCACTATCCCCCACTCCACCTCCCCCTTGTCCTTCTAACCATTTCCCACTCCACCGTCCCCTCGTACTCTCCTCCATCTCCCACTCCCCGTCCCCCCAGCCTTCCTATCATTCCCCTCTCCTCTGCTCCCTCGTCCTCTGCACCATCCCCCACTCTCCTGTCTCCTTGTCCTTCCCATCATTCTCCTTTCCCCTGTCCCCTCGTCCCCACCATCCCGAACCTCCCGTCCCCTCGTCCTGACTCCTTATGTCCCTTGCGCCTTCAGCCTGAAGTCTCCAAAGGAATTTGTTGACTTACTGCGGGGAACACAGGTCACAGGGATAAGAGCCTTGTTGGACGTAGAATCACTGTTTACCAACGTACCTGTGGATGAAACAATTGGGATGATAGCGGACAGAGTGAATCGTGATCCGGCCTGTACTCCTCTTGACATACCAGAAAACATTCTAAGGAAACTACTCCAAGCTTGTACTAAAGAGGCACCCTTCTTGAGCCCGGATGGGCACATGTATAAGCAAGTAGATGGGGTCGCCATGGGTTCTCCCCTAGGTGTCCTGTTTGCGAACTTCTACATGGGTACCATCGAACAAAAGGTCTTAGTCGACATGAACTTGAAACCGGCCATATACTGCAGGTATGTTGACGACATTTTTACACAGGTACCTGATGTCAGACATCTGCAGGAGCTGAAAGAGGCATTTTAGCGGAATTCTGTGTTGCGTTTCACTTATGAGATGGAGAAGGATGGGAAGCTGCCCTTTCTAGATGTAGCAGTCATGGAAAGGAGCGGAGGTTTCCACACTGCAGTCTACACTAAGGAAACAAACATAGGAATGTGCCTCAATGCCAACAGTGACTGCCCAGACAGGTACAAGAGGAGTGTCGTTAACGCCTATGTCGACCGTGCTCTCAGCCACAGCTCAGGATGGAAGCAAGTTGATGAAGAACTCTGTAGGGTAAGGCAGGTCCTAGTCAACAACGGCTTTTCCAATGGTTTCGTTGATGACATCATAAGAAGGAAGGTGAAACGCCATGCAACCTCTGAAGAGACAACTAACACAACACCTGTACCCCATATTAGACTATTTTACAGGAACTTCTTTTCCACAGCTCATAAAACGGAGGAAAGGGTCCTGAAAGATATTGTTGATAGAAACGTTATCCCTACAGACAAAAATCAGAAGATACAATTGACGATCTACTATAAAACCAAGACAACGGCCAACCTACTCATGAGAAACTCTCCAGACACGAAGCAGAACACTTTGAAAGAGAACAATGTCATCTATGCCTTCAAATGCCCACTTGGGGACTGTAAGCCTCAAAGAATTCAGTATATAGGCAAGACAACAACATCTCTTTCCAGGCGATTAACGATACATAAGCAACAGGGCTCCATTAAGGAACATATAATCTCTTCCCACAACCAGACCATCACCAGAGAAGTCTTAACAAAAAACACGGAAATCATCGATAGATACAGCGATAGCAGGCGGCTTGATATCTGCGAGGCACTACACATTAAGAAGTCGACACCAGCAATCAACAACCAATTAATGCACAACTATATTCTACCCACTTCAAGACTCCGCACCAATATAGATGCATCAAGAAATATGGGCCAATAGGCCCTTTGCAGTTACTTCCATTCTTCCCTATAACTTACAAAATATTATACCCATTGTTTCGTGTTCTGTCTTGTGTTGAAAGTTTGTTTTCACCTCATCCAAAACTGTTGTAACATATCACCTCACCCAAATGCAGGTATAAAATCGAAGCTGTTTAAACTCTGTTTTTGACACACAGGATGGGAGAGACCTCTCCCGCCAACACCTCACAAGGCGCAGTGTGGTCACAATGCGACCCAAATGTCTTAAGGTCAGAGCTACTCCACTTGACGGTCATGCTATCGGAAGAAGCAATACTTTAAAGGTCCTGAAGGACGTAACTGGCCTCAAACCCGCTGACATTAGTCAGGAAGGTGAAGATATCGTGCTCTACTTTTCATGTGAAGAGGAGCTAGAAAAACTCCTCACTAACGATGCCATTCTTCGCAAAGAGCACTACCTACATCCTCACTTCCCACGTCAGTTCCTGGCCGGAAGAACTGTTTTTACCAGCAGGACCAGCCGGTGGATCGCTGAGCGACCTCAACATCATATCATAAACAATATCGAGGACGAAAATCCAAACCTGTCGGTATTCAACCGACATCATGTATTCAATCAACTTTCCATCATGTTCTGCAACACCGACAAAACATCAATGAAGATTACGTTCACCACCATAGCTGCGGCCACCCAGGCTGCCACACAAGGATTCTACTGCTTCGGCCTAAAAATACCACCTCACCAAATAAAAAAGGAACGATACCATGAGATCCAGCAGTGCTTTAAGTGCTACGATCTCTCCCACCCAACCAACAAGTGTCAGCACCCTGTCCAGAGGTGCAGCCTGTGCGCACTGGACCATCACTACTCCATATGCAAGGCAACAGTCCATCACTGCTTGCTCTGTGATGGCAACAGCCCATCACTGCTTGCTCTGTGATGGCAACAGTCCATCACTGCTTGCTCTGTGATGGCAACAGTCCATCACTGCTTGCTCTGTGATGGCAACAGTCCATCACTGCTTGCTCTGTGATGGCAACAGCCCATCACTGCTTGCTCTGTGATGGCAACAGTCCATCACTGCTTGCTCTGTGATGGCAATCACCCCGCAATCTCCTACCGCTGTTCCCGCAGACAGGAAATCATCAAGGCCCAGGTTGAAGCCAAAAGAAACAACTCGTCTACCTCCTCGACCAGAGCCCCAAGCGTTCAACTCACCACCTTAGCTCTCACTAGTCAACCAGAAGACGTTCCAGTCCTACCAACATGTGGCTCCTCCCAGCAGGCGACACAGCCTTCTCCTTGGGGACCCAAGGTCCCACAGGCTCCTTCACAGCCCCCTGCATCACGTGCAGGCATTATCCCTGGTCTTCTTAAACTAGGGGAAAGGCTTGCAGGACCAGACAACCAGCTCTTTGTCAGTGAACTAAACGCATTATACATAGACAATGGCCTGGCCCCCATCATAGCCACTAGCGTAAATCTCACTGCCTCCTCTACCACTCCGGAGACTACCACCAGGACGACCAGGTGGTCAACTTCAACACCGACTCCAGAACCGCCCATGACCCGGGCGACACAAACAGAGGTAATTCCTTCTTCAGCTCCCAATACTCCTGCCATCACTATCTCAGCAGCCGCGCTAGCAGACGTGCTGTCTACAAACGATAACAGCACCACCAGCGCTCCTGAAATAGCTACAACCACCAATCAACGACACCTAAACCTACCTAAGGCTGCGAGGCGAAAGACAAAAACTCCCACTACGGACGTTACGGACTCCTCAGACGAGGAAATCATAGTAGGAGCTCCACCGCCGCATCACAAATACGACCCCTACACGGTTCAAGACTTCCTCATGGAGGCCACGTCACCAAACTCTAACGACAGCACTGCTCAGCCAAAGTCGCAGGCAAAGAAAAAACGGAAACCCTAGAGGTCTACACTAACCCCACCAGCTCCATAACTGGTATAGCCAGCCCTCCAGGCTGAAAACCATCATGAAGACCCCCATCCATCGGCACATCTCTAGTATCAGTCACTGATACAGATAATGGCTCCAAAGAGCCTCCACTTACGGGCTCACCATAGCCCGTGCTACTGGAACTTATCGTTCTGAGTAGCGAATCTTAAACAACAACAACAACAAAACTCTGTTTAGTTATAGTTGTGTGTGTGTAAACTAAAGTCTTTGAAAATGTAATAAGTTATTACGAAACGCGTTCAAGTGTCGTGTCAGACTAGAAATAAAAATGAATTTTGGAGAATTGATTTTTCAGTTACCATCAACAGTGAAAAGAAATATAAGAAATATTGAGAAAATTCGTGTTAGAATTATTAATCTTACTTTTTCGGTCATAATTAATAATATGTCTACAGGAAAAATTGTTACCAAAATATACTAATATATATATATATATATATATATATATATATATATATATATATATATATATATATATATATATATATATATATATATATATATATATATATATATATATATATATATATATATATATATATATATATATATATATAATAAATGGAAATGTTCATTTGTTCAAAATCGTTAATCTCCGAAAGTTCTTCACCGATTGCTTTGAAATTTTCACACAACGTTCCATTCGCATCCGAGCAGGTTTTTATATACATACTATATAGATGTCACGTCTGTGACGG